AAAAGGAAGAGCAGCAAAGAGAAGGGAAACTACCATTTCAGTTTCCAAATTTCGGATCCCGTCTGAATTTCATTCAAAAACTGAACTGAATCAGACATGTGACTTTTCTGGCCAATCAGATGTGTTTTTCGGTTTGATGCATCCGAATGGGTCTGAATACGAATTTTCGTTACGGCAACATGGGAGCCATATACAGTATATACATATAATACTAAAGCTGAGGCTCCCAGACCCGAATGGCATGCGGGATCCGAATTTCCAAATTGCATTGGGGAGCTCCAGAATGCCATTGGGGTCTGGGAGCCTCAGCTTTAGTAATATATGTTTATGGCTCCCAGACCCGAATGGCATTTTGGAGCTCTCGAATGCAATTTGGAAATTCGGATCCTGAATGCCATTCGGGTCTGGGAGATTCAGCTTTAGTATTAATATCTGTATATGGTTTTCTGTGTTAGTCGTAACGAATATTTGTTTAAAAACTCATCCGAAACAACAAAAATTTGGACTTCGTGCGAATCCGAAACCTGAACCGAATTGAATTTCGGATACGAATCCCGAAATATCTGAAGTTAATTTTTCTGCAGCTTACATGTCTAGTGAAAGGGTTGAAAGTGAAAGTGCCATTGTTCTCTCTTTACAAATGCATATTACAAGAATGTATGTGTATGAATGTGTTGCCATGCGTTGTGTGTCGACCAAATTAGAAGACACGTGAACCTTGTTGGCATCAGACAATGCTGGACACAGATGAGGCGGCTCCCCAACAAACACTACAGTCTGGGTTCAGTGAACTGTATCAGAAACAGCTCCGCAGTGTACACTGACCCTAGTCTGGTGCACTGCAAAGCGTGTCAGTAGACCAAATTCCTTCTCAGATGGTTCACGCTGTACTCTGCAAACCAGCCAAAGACCTGAGCATACTTTGGTACTCCTGCTTGGCGGAAGGGCCAATTGTTACTGCTCTTATTTGGCTTTCAGATCTGCCAAAACTCTGTAAGATTTACATTGTAGTAAGATATGTATATCATGTTTAGAAGAGTTATAACCGCCCCCAGGCCTTGCCGAGTCGCCGCTAATGTAAGTGTTCTGGATTTCCTTGAGGAAGAACAAGTATGTGTGTGTCGTTGGCTGGGTCATGGCCTTCTCTCATTACCATCTTGCATTCCAATGCCCATCATGTTGCACAGATCTAGTCCAGCTAGAACGAGCCAATACATGTCCTCCTTTCCAGAGGCCATAACACCAGATCCTTACAACTCACCCTGCGGACCCTGGGCCCAAAGATAGACCAACTTTGACTGCCTGGCAAGATTATGAGGGTGTCCTGGCCATGAGAAACCTGCCTAAGAGTGTGATCCTAACGCTGAAGCCCAAGGGGATGTCCTTACACCCAAGTGGCTTCTTGAATGGGAATCCTTTCTGTAGAATGCTCTTTGTCCTCTCCTCTAAGCCTTAACCTACCAAGAGCACAAGGTTTCAAACATGAATATTTTAGGTACACCCATCCACCATGACAAGGTGTTGCCTCCACTATCAACTGAAGCACAATACTCTAGGTGCAAGACATGGAAGTGAGGATGTTCCGCAGGATTGCTATGTTGATGTTTCAAGCCGAGGCCAGGAACCTTCTTCAAAGCAAAGATTACTGTTTAAGGTGTTTTGGACATCTAAAGGTCCCCACACACCTTACGATAATCGCGGGAAATCCCGCGATCGTACGATTATCGTAAGGTGTGTGGAAGCCGTGCGACCTCTACTACTGTAAGGTCGCACGACTTTGAACTTACGAACATGTTTGAAAACCTGGGTTTGGGTGTGTAGCATGTTTCTAAGATAAAAGCAGGACGGGCCGGTGTGTGCAAGCGCACACTGCCCGTTCAGCATTGCGGTCATCGGAAGCCCGATCATCGCAAGTATGATCTGCCTATGCAAGATAGGCAGATCGTAAGTTTTTTCGTCGCAAAAGTCTTGTGATGGTTGTAAGGTGTGTGCCCAGCCTTATACGGTATGTGAGCCTCTTGAAAGCTGAACTAACCATGTTCTACAGTGGGAATGCCCAGGGCAGACCTACAATAAAAATGATATATGATATACACTCACCGGCCACTTTATTAGGTACACCTTGCTAGTACCAGGTTGGACCCCTTTTGCCTTCAGATCTGCCTTCATTCTTCGTGGCATAGATTCAACAAGGCGTTGGAAACATTCCTCAGAGATTTTGGTCCATATTGACATGATAACATCACGGGCCCAAAGTGTGCCAAGAAAATATCTCCCTCACCACCACCACCACCAGCCTGAACCGTTGATACAAGGCAGGATGGATCCGTGCTTTCATGTTGTTTACGCCAAATCCTGACCCATCTGAATGTCGCAGCAGAAATCGAGATGATAATCAGACCAGGCAACGTTTTTTTGTTTCCTGTTCTTAGCTGACAGGAGTGGCACCCGGTGTGGTCTTCTGCTGCTGTAGCCCATCTGCCTCAAGATTCAACATGTTGTGCTTTCGGAGATGGTACTTTGCAGACCTGGGATATAACGAGCAGTCATTTGAGTTACTGTTGCCTTTCTATCCTCTCGAACCAGTCTGCCCATTCTCCTCTGACCTCTGACATCAGCAACGCATTTTCGTCCACACAACTGCCGCTCACTGGATATTTTCTCTTTTTCGGACCATTCTCTGTAGATCCGAGAGATGGTTGTGTGTGAAAATCCCAGTAGATCAGCAGTTTCTGAAATACTCAGACCAGTCCGTCTGTCACCAACAACCATGCCACGTTCAAAGTCACTTAAAGTCAGTTTGAACTTCAGCAAGTCGTCTTCACCACGTCTAGCTGCCTAAATCCATTGAGTTGCTGCCATGTGATTGGCTGATTAGCAATTTGTGTTACCAAGCAATTGAACAGGTGTACCTAATAAAGTGGCCGGTGAGTGTGTATCTCAACTGGCCTGGGAAAATTTTGAAAGCTTGAGCCAACTTGCCCGGCTTCCAGTGCAACTCCTACAAGATTGGGTTGATAAAACTTGAGGAAGGTGATGATATTTCTATATTAATAAGTCTATAACTTGGGGACAGACTTCAAGGTGAAGACCGTGTACAGGAATGAGAAGAGATTGTTGCTTCAGCTGTATGCTGAGGCCGGGTTGATTTGTACAAGTTGCATGGTTACATCGTGCCAGGCCAAAACAAGGAAGAAAGGATCCTGTAAAAGGAACGTATTGCTTACCTGTCCTATCAACAGTTCCTCATATCTTCATTCTCTTGAAGAGTTATGCTGGCTGAAATATCTTCGGCATCTGACATACTTCTGGGTGTGTTGGATGCCTGGTCTCCCAATTAGGGTTGCCACCTGTCCAGGATCGACCCGGACAGTTCGGGTTTTGAATGCTCTGTCCGGGTTTCATGGCAGCAGAAACCCGGACACAAGATGTCAGGCAGACAGGGGCAACCAAAATTAAGATATGGGCTACTGGCCCCCCACTGAAAATAGTCTTGACGTGATATTTACATATGAATAGGTGGCACTATTTACATATGAATAAGCCGTGAGTCATTCTCCCATAAAAATGTCCACGTGTCGCTACAGTGTTCGGGTTTCACTTGAAAAAAAGTGGCAACCTTACTCCCACTGCATGTTGTAGTCCAACCTGCCTCTGCACATCAGTACGGCACCACCACAGCTTGCACCAGGAGACCAGGCAACCAATGTCCGATTCGGAATATTCTTCAGACAGCATAGGTCGTCAAGGATCCAAAGCTTGGTGGTGGTGGTGGGATAGGTGATTATTACTAGACATGTGCACTGCCAAAAAATGTGTTTAGTTTTGTTTCAAATTCGGATTTGTTATTTCGTTTTTCAGGATTCGGGTGTGAAAGTCAATTCGGATTCGGAATTCAGATTCGGACGAAATTCGGTAGCGTTAGTACGAACGTTCGTTTCGTTTTCTGTTCTTATTCGTTTGTTCGTTTGCAGCAAAAGTGACATTTGAGGGGGAAAAAATATTTTTCTCCTTCTCTAATGTCACTTTGCTCCAACGAACGAAACGAATAAGAACAGAAAACGAAACGAACGTTCGTACTAACGCTACCGAATTTCGGAAATGGAAATTCGGATTCGTTTGCATTCGTTATGTCTGTAATTCGGATACATCCGAATGTCCGAAAATTCGTCCGAATTTCGATTCGGAACGAAACGAATCGCACATGTCTAATTATTACTACTCTTCTTTTGCCGGTTATTTTTTTTTTCTATTCTCCTTTTGGCGCGGAGTTGCTTTTAAACCCAATACACAGTGTTAGAATCTTTAAATGGAATGTCAATAAAAGGCGATTGTGGGACGCACCCCTGGCAGCGTTATAGTTTGGTCTAACCTTTGTTACTGTCACTTTAACTGAACAGCTTGGTTTGCATTGCATGTAAAAAATTACAAATAAAGGCACGTGAAATGTATAAAAGGGATTCATATTCTGAATACCATTATATACATATTCATATCAGAATGCAATATTTTTCATGGTAGTGATGTTTATAGCGATCCTTCCAAATACCATATAAGCAGGGCCGGATTTCCCACAAGGCCAACCAAGACCCGGCCTTGGGGTAGCAGGAAGTAGAGGGGCAGCAGGGGTGTGGATTTTCTATCTTCTGATGCCCGGGACATGCAGTTTTTTTCTACATTAAGCCCTGCTTTGAGCAAGGAGGGCTAAATGTACGCCGCTTGTTTTGTACAAGTGATCCAGGAGATGTTGTCGAGATCGCTTGTATGCAGCCTGCGGGACTTCCATTCTCCATTGGAGGGGGGCGGGTTGGTGGGTAGGGGGGCGCATTGAGGAACCTGGCCTTGGGGCAGCAGGCAGCGTAAATCCGGCCCTGCATATAAGTGGCGGTTGGTGGGGTACAATTCCTTCCTTCCCAAAATATAATTACCTGGAAGACCACAGGTGCACTTTAATATGATAAGATATAAAGTAAAAAGACTCCTATTTATCCCCCCCATAGATGGCATCCGCCAGCGATCCGCGCCAACCCCAGAAAGATGCCGCCGACCAGAGCTTTGATTACATGTTTAAGCTCCTGATTATCGGGAACAGCAGCGTGGGGAAGACTTCGTTTCTCTTTCGCTATGCCGATGACTCCTTCACTTCAGCCTTCGTCAGCACGGTGGGGATAGACTTCAAGGTGAAGACCGTGTACAGGAATGAGAAGAGAGTAAAATTGCAAATCTGGGTAAGAAAAGCTTATCTCTCCAACAAATTTCCTTTACCGCATTGTTGTCTTTTAACTGTGTTTTTTTATGACACAGTTTTATCTTACACTTGAATGTATTTCTGTTTAACCAGTTCTGAGGGCCAGACCCCCGTTATACAGCACAGCCAGGTCCTCACCTGCAATACAGCAGTGCAGTTTGTTCCCAATACACCCCCTGCCTTCTGATGGGACAATGAAGGAGGAGAGGTATACTGATGAGGTTATCCCTCTGCTCACTGTGCTCTCTCCTTTTGTCAGCACATGTACATGCAGCACAGCCTGATGGGTTGCTTATCCTGTGCCTTCTTAACCTAGTCTGAGTGTTGCTGTGCAGGGGATGGTAGGATGCTAATATAAAGACAAACGCATTTAAGGTACAAGTAAAATTTTGCATAACAAACATATTTGGGTTCAAGGTTGCACAACAGGTTCTTTGGAGATGAATGGGAGATTTGTTTCAGCATTTCCTCTTCTGGGTCCCATCCTTCCTATTTCCACGCCCATAAGCAGGAAATGCTCAGTCAAACATGGAGGAGGAACTACTCCTTGCTGGATCTGCTAATCTCCATTTAACACAGCTGGGTATCTCATAAATACCTGTTGATCCTCCCAGTGAGGTGTTCCACATGCAGCTTCCTGTGATGGGGTGGCAACGCTGCTGCAATGCGCCTGAAAGCAGAGCAGCATTGTTGTCCTCATGTAGTCTGTGCCTACTTACACTACAGTGGGTTGAAAAGACATTGCAGGTGGAGTGACTATCAGCATTGTCACTGCTGATTCACAAGCCTGTAGCTTGTTAATCAGCGACTGCTCAGATGTAGTCCTGCCCACTGCTTTTTGGGTTGATAGCACTGGCTCTGTTGATGATATCCTCCCTCTGTGATCTGCAGTGTCTGGGAGGGGAGAGTGTGTCAGACATTAATGATGGAGAGTTTGGCTCAGTTGGGGAAGGTAAAGAAAGTATTTTTGTTACTTATCACATAATAACTGGATCTGGGATCTATTTGGGCAGTCACACAGGATGTAATTTTAAGTGTTAGAGGTTCAGGCAAGGTTACGTGTTAAGGTGAAGTTAAGTTATAAGGGTTATGTTTCAGGGTTAGGTTAATAGTAGTAGTGAGTGTTAGTGGAAGGTTCAATGTTAATTTGAGAGTTGAGTTTTTGGGCATGGGTGAGGGGATAATTAAATGCTGTGGTCAGTCTAAGAGTCAGGTTGGGGGTACGGGAGAAACTTTACTTTCTGCTTGTGACATGGTTTTAAAGTGAAAGAGTATCTTGAAGCCCCATGACCCACTTATGTCCATCTTCCCTGTGCTTGGAGCCCTTGGTACATACATACCCAGTATTTCTATTTATTGCAGGGCCTTACACCATCCCACACGGAGCTTCCCCAGGGCTTAGAATCCCGGCTCCAACAAAGGATTGGAGAGCACGGAAAAAGGTGACTATACGTGGGTCAGGAGGCAGGCCTTCAAGATATTCTGTCACTTTGCCCACTTGGTCTCTTTAAGGTGTTGACTTAAAGCCCAATTACAGCAAAAACATATTTTTTTCATTTGGATAGGGTGGGGGAAATTGGGGTTTTCTCCTGAGTTAACCAGAGTAAGGTGGAGGTCCGCTTTGTGAAACACAGCATATTGATTGCTTCCCTCTGCTGTCTGTGATGTCCACACACACACACCGCTATGGTATATGGGCATAAAGAAGACAACGTTTTCTTGTACTAACCTGCAAGCCTACTTCTCTCATGGTATACAAGCCTACCATGTGTCTCCATTTACATTACTGGCTCCACAGCATGTAAATCAGCAGCTCTCTATGCTATTCTGTTAATGTGGCATTTCCTCTGGCTACTTTCCCTTCAGAATATAAACCACATTCTACTTTATGTATAATAGCTGCAATGCTGTGTGAGTCACCGTCTGCAGCACCATCCTCATCCTCTTCTAATGGATTACTAATCCTTCTACTCACGACTATAAAGGAAGAAAGTGACCTGAAAAGTGCCATTTTCTTCTGTCCTTACCTCCATTTTTTGTCTCTGTTGATCCATCTATCTGGAATACCAGTGCTGGTCACATACAGAACCTTCAGACTATTTCAACCACTTTCATCCAACTGTCCATCACTTTCATCCAACTGGATCCACCGATACTTTTCAGATACCAGTGCCGATACTTGGCATTTTCATGCTACCAGGGTTGCAGCGGTCGCAGCTGGGGCCTGGCTCTGGCGCTCCATCACTGTCCTGAAATCATTAGTCTGTATTGTTTTAGAAAAACTGTCATATGACAGTTAAACAAAAATGTATCAGTACTTGTATCTGTGAAGACTTGGACAAGTATCAGTACTTGTACTTGCAAAACTGGTATCGGTGCATCCCTTCTATATGTTTATAAAAACAAAATCATACAATAAAACAGAGATGTACAAATCCCAGGAGCTCCGTGTGCTCCTTACAAATGACAGCCGCCTCCTAACTTTTGAATTTTTCTCTAGTCTAGTCTTGGAGCTGGAAAAGTATCTGTACTTGTACTTGTACCGAGTACGCTACTTGGTATCGGTGGATCCCTAGTCTCTACCACTTAAGATAATTTCACAGTGTTGATACAAACTGTTGGTTGGAGTCATTGGCTTTGTCATTGGTTAAAAGTGGTTGAAATTGCCTCAACATTGCCATATGTGATCAGCATAGTTTTCTTTTGGCCTAACTGTCTACTACAGCCATCCGATTTCCATGAAGCTTGAGGTCCTGTGTACACGGGCTTTTGTTCATGGTGTAGCTCTCAACAGCCTTAGGAAGGAGGCAGTGCAGATTTAAGTGCTTAGTTTCAGGATAAGTTAGCAGTTTGTGTTAGTGTGTAGGTTCAATTTTAATTTGGGAGTCAAGTTTTAGGGCTTGAGTGAAGGGGATGGTTAAGTGTTAGGGTCATCATCAGGGTCAGGTTAGGGGTAGGGGGGAACTTAACTTTTCACTTTTGTTTTGCTTACGAAATTTCCTTATGGAAACATTTTTCAAGAAAATGCCGCACACATTGTAACCTATCATATAAATTGCAATCCTGAATAATAAGAGAACGCCATGTACAAAGACGGGATAGGCATATAACACAAAAGTACAATGTTTAAGCAACATATGTGTACCCCGTAAGGCAAGAGCAGTCACAGGTAAGGAAAGAAAGAAAGAAAAAGACAAAAGAGAGAAGAGGAAAAAAGAAGAGAAGGTGCAATTCTGCCCAAGAAGGACATGTCAATGACTAGACTCTTAGAAGGTCATGACAAAAGCCCTCCCTGGGCATCTAAATAGTCCATCCATGTCAACCAGATCCGGAGGAACTTTCCATACGAGTCATTCAGTATAGCAGTCATTCATTAATAAGGTAGCCCTGATCCTTTGTTTTACCTCTACGAAGCTAAGAGTTGGTTGTTTCCAGGACCTTGCAATGGTTTGAAACGTAGCCATTCACTTGTTTTTTGATGTTGAAGACCCCGTGTGGAGAACTATCTGGCATCAGTTCCACGGCAATGAAAACCAAAAGTGACCAAGCTGTGCTGCAGTAGGAAAGAGGGAGGACACCAACCTAACTGTGCTGCCTGCAGGTTGTACCTGGATCACAAGACTGGTTGAATAGATTGGCGTTTCTCAACCTTTTTCTGTTGTGGCACACTTTAAAAGTATGCAAAACTCCGAGGCACCCCAGTCTTAAATATCATAGATTTTAAGGGCACCCCATGCAAAACACACACAAAAAAGTGGGTTTCCCCCTTAACATCGAAATGCCCCCTTTAAATCAAGATTTCCTCTCCTTCACATCAGGGTCACCCTTTGCAATAGCAGCCCCCGTTCACCTCAGAAGCCCCCTTTCATATCAGAGTCCCCCCCTTTCATATCAGAGTCCCCCCCTTTCATATCAGAGTCCCCCCCTTTCATATCAGAGTCCCCCCTTTCATATCAGAGTCCCCCCTTTCACATCAAAGCCTCCCTTTCATATTAGAGTCTCCTCCTTTCACATCAGAGTTCCCTCTTTACATCAGAAGCCCCCCTTCACCTCAGTCTACATTCCACCCCCTTCACATCACAGACTCCCTACCACAAACTTTTGAGGTACCCCTGAGGAAGCCAGAAGGCACACCAGGCACCCTGGCTGAGAAAGGCTGGTAAAGAATTTAAAAAAAACTCTTTTTTGGGATAACACTTTTGTTATGACAGGTCACATATACTGTATGTCAGCTGTCTAGCTACATGTTTAAAGGGTATGTCCAAACATTATGCAGATTTAACCGCAAACCTTCTCCCCCTCCAGAGCATGTTCCAGCATTGACATTTACTTTGTTCCTGTAGCGAGAGGCAGCTTTTATTAGGCATTGTGTCATCATTACCAGGCTTGTAAAAATCTTGCAGGGGCAGCTGCTGGGAACTCAGTTGCTACTGGCATAGGCACACCCACAGAACTACATCTCACTGGAGCCCTTTCTCTACATGCACGGTGCAGGCAGGCGTTTGAGATTCAAGGCAGCAGCTTGGGGAAATAATACATCTATGTACCACAGCAATGCAAATATCCGATGGGATGTAGAAATTGTAGATTCACATTTACTGGGCACGTTACAATAATAACTCAGATTAAGTGTGCACTGAAAATATTCTGTGATTTCCCTATAATGTTTATCTGGAACTAGTACAAGCTATCAGTAACCATGACCTTGCTTTAACCTTCACACTCTGTTCCTGTCCTGCAGGACACAGCTGGCCAGGAGAGGTATCGGACAATCACCACTGCATACTACCGCGGGGCCATGGGTTTCCTGCTCATGTACGATATTTCCAACCTGGAGTCCTTCAACGCTGTACAGGACTGGTAAGCAAGCAGAGATCATGTATTTTCTTATTCAAGTTATGTACATCAACGAAACTGGAACAATTTACTGGGGGCTCGCAGGAATATGTCTGCATAAAGCTCACATAACGAGTCAAGTGTCAAGGCACTACCCAAATGTACCCCCAAACCTCCCTATCCCCCTCTAGAGCATGCCCCAGCATTATGTTTTTCTTTTATCTTGTTCCTGTAGCAAGAAACAGATTGTATGATATCCTCACAATGATTGTGAAATTCTTGCAGGGGCACCTGCTGGGAGCTCAGTTCCTAATGATATAGGCACTTCCCCCAGAAATACATTTCCCAAGAGCCCTTTTCCTATGCAATGTGTGGGTGGGCTCTTGGGAGTCAAGGCAACAAACTGGTTTTCCTGGGAAAGAAATCAATGTATGCACATTGAGAGGGGCAGATAATGGGCAGTTCTTTAGTCCAGCAAGCAGGATGGTCAATGCTGCTTAGGATCTCATTGCATGAAAGGTTCTGTGTTGTCAGCTCAAATGGGAATTTAGAACCACACTGGATTTCTAGCAGTACAAAGAGTATTTTACGGGAATGTTTAAGAAATTAAACACAGGCAATGTGCATGTGTGGCATAGATGAACTGAATATGTATAAAGGCCAGATTAACCCCTTCGTGACTGACGACGTACAGTGTACGTCGCCAGCATCGGGGCTGTTTAAACAGACTCCCGGTGACTTTTGCCGCCGGGACTCTGTTTAAACTTGTAGAGCCGACTGTCGGCTTTACAACAGAAGCGATCCTGGCGACTTACCTGTCGCCAGATCGCT